CATATAAATAAGAACATAAGTTTAAAAAGTTTAAATTTATATTTTGTCAAAAACTATACAGAACTACAAACAAAACAAAACAATTTATGTTATCCTATTATATGATACTAAAGTATAAACACTATAAACTACACTTCGGTTTCTAAAATTATATTTGGATAGCCCATACTGGCCATACTATTACTAACTTCATTATAARTAAAGTGTTATTTTTTTATGATTATAAACTTATTCTTTATACCTAATGTKATAATAATAATAACAAGCTGGGAGAGCATAATATAGTCTCTAGCAGCCACATACCTATCGTCGAAACTAACAAAACTCCAGTACTCCAGTATACAGAACTAATTTCTAATCTTTACCTTTTACTCCCATCACTCGTCTAAATAGAAACTTTCTAAATCACACCAGAACATTTTTATTATTTGCAAACCTAATTATGCAAACAATATCATTCTTGATTTTATCCATGTCACTTTCCCGTTCTTCATCCTAATTTTAACTGATGAGTCTATCAGGCGCGGATTCAGGGGGGGGGCTATGGGTGCTCGGACACCCCCTGTCATTTAGCCACCAACAAAATAAATTTATGTTATAAATTAAATTATTTGTTATTTTTCAAAATAAAAATAATAATAATATCGGTGCTTTTCTTTATCACCGTCACATACGACAATAATAACTATTATTTTTAATTGTTTTCGAAGTATACTCGTATGTAACAACACGCGTTGACGGCGGAAAGCACCGATAACAATTATTATGGAAAAAAAGTTAGCACTAATAAATCAAATAGTAAATGGTAATATTTAAATAAATAGTAAGGTGTAACAATTTTTTTTTTTTGAGCACCCCCTGTTAAATTTTTCTGGATCCGCGCCTGGAGTCTATCATTTCCATATCAGCGGAATATGCATTTTATATCACGTTATTTCACATTTCGTCCTCTAATAATATTCCTCCGAAGTATATTCTTCCACAGCTGAATGCTTTGATGTAATTGAAACACTCAATATAGTTTCATCCTATAATATTTTAAAATCGGATATTTCTCCGCTCATAATCAGTATTGGACATATTTTATATGTATTCTCTAATGGAATCTGGCACTAACATTCATTATATGTCACAAGAACACCAGGCCATACTGTAATTGCGAGAAATGAAGTCGCTGATAAGTTTAAAAATTCCTCTCTCTCCCRCAGGTAATTTAAGTACAAAAATTCCATGATCTGACTTTATACCTAACATTAGGACTTCCACATCCAATCTTTGGCTCAATCTAAAAAGAGGTTTACTGCTTCCTCATTTGCCATCTGGTATAGAAATATATCCTCAACCATCCCAACATTACCCTTGTTTCACAACCTCAATCTTTCTTGGAAATGCRTAATATCATTCTCCCATGTCTGGTTTTAWCACACAAGAATTAGTTTAAGTCCATAAATGGTAGGTTTTTACACAAGGTATCTATTAACAAAAGTTTTTTAGCTACGGTTTTCACTCCATAGTATCTKAGTTCATACTTTTTATATAAGTCATACATTATATTCGTGGGACATATAAATTAACAACGAGGGCCGTGGGTTAACGTTTGTGAACTTAGCGGCACTCATGTGGCAAAATTTACTTAAACCTATCCATCAATTATGTTAGACGTTTGTTGGTAAGTTTTTACAATTTGTTAGACATTCGTAAAAAGTTATAAACAATTCTCCAAAACCACCACTAAGTTCACACCAACAGCCAACACTAAATTTGACACATCAAACACTGACAATAGATATATGTTGTAGTATAAGATACACCTTATAMATTTTTTCATAAAGACCATTATAAATTTCAATAACATTAAAAAACAATCAATATCTTCTTTGTCATTCTATTGAATATTTTTATTTACTCGTACCATTGTTATTTGTGGTCTTTAATTACGATCTGGATCTTCTAACTGTATTCTGTACTCTAGGCATTTCTGGTCGACATTTAACGCATGAGTTTTGTTTCTTAATTGTTCGTTTATCAAATTCATGTGCTCTGAAAGTATAGTATGCATTGCTCTGTAAAAAAAAAACATTGGTCATAATATAGGTATATTTTTTATTTAATTAATCTATCAGGTATGTATTACTTTGTTTGATTTAGCTTGTTGCTCAACATTTTGGTAGAATTATCGAGTAGAAAATTTTCTTCCTGTAATCCGACTGTAGGTTTATCAAGACATAGTTCAACTCCATCTCTATACAATCTTTCTTCGTGCCGTGTCTCAATCAACTTTTTCGAATTTAATTTTCTATGTAAAGCATCTTCGAGTTTATTTATTTCTTTTAACAGTGTCTCCTTATCTAATATCATCTATAAAAAGTAAAAACCCTTTATATCAGGAACSCATTATATTATATTGTGCTATAGAAATTCAACACTGCCATACATTCTTTTTTTGCCATTCTAATTCATATTTAGCTCTTTCTATGTTGTAAATCTGTTTTCTGAGACCAAAATTGACTTTTTCGTTGAGAGCTACCATATCACTTTTAGTTTTATGTCGTAACAAATACATTTGTTCGCGCAACTTTTCTGAACTTAACAATTCATGTTCAATACTTTGCATTAAATTAATAGACTGTTGCAGCCACTTTTCGTATGTATTAATTCTAAAAATTATATATAATTTAAAGTTAAATACCTATATTTATTAGTTTTTAGTTTAAAAACAACGTAATGATTAAATTCAATTTAAAAAAATAAAGAAAGTCTTCATTAAAAATAAACAAATTTTTAGTTTTACACTAATAATTTAATAAATATATAAATATCCTCATATTTAGAATATAGATGAATATTTACTTAAAGCTATTTTGTAGGACCTACTTCGTTTTTAAATACATAATTAGTTATTAAACTAGTTAAGATCTAGGATATAAAATATACAATACTTTACATGTCATAGTGTTTGAACTCAAGTAGGTATACTTACTGTTTTGGAATTTTAAGTGGATTTGGTTTAAGGGAGATATTTTCTGAGTCTTTTGTCATTTTCAACAATTCACTATCTATTTCTATTGTATTATTTTTGTTTTCTAAGTCATTGATGACATTCATTTGTAATTCTTCTAACTTATTAATTTGTTCCCAAGCTTTTTGACATATTTCAGCCAACATTGTTTTCATCGTCTCCAAAGCCAATTGCTCCTAAACAAACTTGATATATTATAATCAAATACAGGTACCTATCAGGAAGGTCCATATTTCTAAACTGGCGAATAAAATCGTAATATTTTATAGTTTAAATCAAAATTAAATATTTTGATATCAACTACGCATTATTCAAAAATATTATAATATTGTTTTGTAGAWAAGTAGAGTTTTAAATATTATTYTATCGCCRAAASACGATGCGCATCAGTAATGTCGTATAAATGCGTTTATTTTACATATTAAGGAATATATATTGAATCATTTTGATCTCTTTTTCAGGAGGCTTATAAAAAAAATTTATATTTTGATTCGGATATTATTGATGTCAGCATCATTAAAAACTCAAACCAGGGAAATTCTAATTTCATCTCATCGGAAAAATATTACTTATGGTGTGAAAATGTAGAACAAATAATAAATATTTTGAATACATATGATGCAAATGTTTACCAAAACGTAAACACTGTTGAAAATGTTTCAACTCTACTGAYAACTGGTCTCTACATCTGCAGCATTTGAGCGTTCCTTTTCAAGATTAAAACACTTAAAAACATATCATTGTATTATAATTGGAAATGAGTGTTTATCAGTATATAATATTTTGTCAGTAGATTGTGCCTACTTAATAGACGAAACATTAAATACAATAGCAAAAAAAAAAAAATAAATAATTTTTAATGTAGATATAAGTTGAAAATAATTAGTTGGCACCATTAACATTATTAATAATAAAAGATTTTGTTCATTAATCATGTGAAAAAAAATTAAATTATTTAAATAAATTCATGGCCACATATAGTATTGTAACTATATAATGCATACTTGTTTTAGTTCAGCAGAAGCAATATCATAGCATAAATCTTCACCATTTTTTTCATCTCTTATACTTAAGCAATGATTGGTAACTGCAAAGTTTAAATTTTGAAATTCTATTGCTTTCTCATTTTCTTTCTTTTCAATTTTCAACTGCTCAATTTCTTTTTGTAAGTATGTTGAACATAATTCAATTTTAATTTTCCAGCGTGTTATTTCACTTTGTCTAAGATAAATAAAATAATATTAGCCTTATTACTTAAAATTATTATAAAATGTATACCTATCAACGATATTAGAATTAGTACGGCATGYACCCCAATACGTAGTGAGATCGGTCTCATTCCTTAATCTATGTGATTCATTTCCCAATGTAAATGCACAACGCCTGCTTCTGTCACAAGATTGTCTTAATTCAATTAATTTGTAATTCCAATCAGACTCTGATATTTTTGGTACAGGTTTTTCAAAGGTAACTATAGACATAGTGTATTATATTTGATACCTAGTTAATTATTTAAGCTATAAGACCAAAGATCTATTATACAGTATGAACAAGGCAGGTAGACCATATACATTTAAATCAATTATTGTTAGAAATCAATTAAAAATAATAAAAATATAACTTGTAAATAAAATTATTTGRWTAAAAAAAATGATTTTTAATTGTATTATTATAACATAAAAATTGTCCCCATGGTTATTATTATATTAATATTATATCGGAAACCCTATATATCTAATCAAAATGAAAGAAAAAAAGTCATTCAATTTATTTTATAATGAAATATAACAGTAATKTTGAGAGACCAACAACAAAACTTARCTACAATCCAGAGGTATTCAAACTGTGTGTCACGGCTCCTAAGGGCAGCCCCAGAGTTTACAAAGGGATAGCCGCGTCAAAGCACCAAATAACCAACATGATACATAGGTCTTGTATAATAATTTTTTTAAATATTATTTTCAAATATTATGGAAATGAAAACGACACACCTAACGACACGACCATTTTAAGTTTTATTTCTAGTACTAAAGTCACTGCTATTATCACCCATATAACATATTGTATCTGTGTGTTGTTTCAATTTTTCATAATAATTTGGGAGTCGTAAAAATATTGTGAACACCAAAAGAAGCCATGGGATGAAAGAGTTTGAATACCTCTGCTATAATCAGTTAAAACTATATACGGTATTAAATTGCTTTTACCTAACTTAACCTAACCTGCAACTACTCTCTGAATCTGGAAAAATACTTTTGGTTTCACCAACAACCTCTTTTGCTATATTCTTAATACAAATGACCATCTTTCTCCAAGCCTCATTTATATCTTACTTGACATTCCACACAACTTTTTCTTTTATTATCTTTATAAGCTCMTTTTCTTTATTTCCTATTAATTTCCACCACCTAATTCTCTTCTTCTTTCTGGTCTTMCTTTTTTTAATTTAATATACTCACCTTCTTTACATTACACCATACTTCCATTATCAATCTATGCTGTCTCTCTTCCACATAAAATAATCAATCTGCGACCTATTCCTTTCACTTTTACATATTATATAATGCTCTTCTCTTTTCCTAAAGTACGTATTGATTGTTGCAATATAATACGATACTGCAATATCCTAAACTTTWTTCCAGCTTTATTCTTCTCACTAAAACCATGTCCTYTATGTACTCTTTCATACTCTAGATGTCTATTCATATTGCCACCAATTACAGATCTTCATTTCCTGGTATTCTTATTTGTATCATCTCAGCCATCTCTTACTAAACTCTTCCTTTTCTCTTTCTTCACATCCAACCTGTAGTGCATACGCATTTATTACGTTTCGTACTTTCTCTTCATACATCAACTTAACGACTTAACCTAATAATTCTATCACTTTTCCTCCCTACGTCGACTACCTTAATTTTCATCTTCTCRTCCAATATTACTCTAACATCATTCCTAGTATAAGTCTTACCTGAATATATTATCTATTAAAACCTATTCTATTGATTTTGCTTTTTCTCTTACCTACGCCTTTTCTGAACACAACAAATATTAATTTTCCTCCTCTTCAACACTTCTGCTTATTCACTACTTCTGCCCGTCAGCGTTCCAATATATTATATACACTACTTACTTAATTGAAATATATTCAAAGAAATTTAATGTTATTGTWATGATAAAAGCTGGGACAATTCTGGCAATCCACTTTTGCATATTATTAACAAAATTCAATATCTTAAAATATAAACTATATAATATAACTATATACTAAAATATAATACCTACTTGATATTTATGGTATGCCTCCTCACTAAACAAATAAAAACTATTACCTGTTTTAATACCTGTATGGATTTATTCTATAGTGTTATGTATCAGCATTAATTGTATTATTATTAAATTATATAGTGAATTTTATTAGGATATCAACTTAGGTCTCACTCTCTATGACAAACATAATTTAAGTGTAATTTATTCAAATCTCTAATAAACCCGTGATCCAATATGAAATAACGACTTGTGGCGGTCCTGGACGGATACCGCGTGGATCAGTGGTGTCACTAGTGTAGGAAGTGGTGAAAAAAAAAACACAAACAGTTCGCGGTATTATGATTTTTTTTATTGTGGTGGTTGAAAATACAACCGCCAGAAAATGATCAACACGAAAATCAAAATAGCGGGGTGGTGAGGAGCGTGTGTCGTTCAGTGTCGGTCTGAGAACTCACTCTACTGTCGACCGGTTCGGAGTCTCGACGGATCGACTGTTCCTGGTGCGCTTATCGCGTGTCCGTGTCGTCCGTCGTCGATTGGCGGTTGAAAAGAGAAGTAATTGCGCGGGTTTCCGCGCAAAGGCCGTTTGAATTCAAACGGCTATTACGAGGGCCCGCGTCAGACTCAACTTTGTGTGATTGGCTTTCGCCTATAGTACCTTGTCTAAATTTACTTAAATAATATGCTTATTATTTTATATGAGATTAAATATAAAGAGTAAAAGAAATATTATAATAAGTTGAGCGTACTGGACAAACAATTATTATTATTTATATTCTTAATTCCTTCTCAACGATTAGGCGATTGGGCATTGGTACATCAACATTTCTGACCCGGGGCAGTATGTTTTAAGAATACCAGGAGAGATTGCTCCTGGCTCGAAAGTGGGTTATTATGTATCTACTATGCACGGCTGTATGCTAAACAAATATGTAACTTAATCTAAGTCTTATAATTATTTAGAATGTAAATATTGAAATGCCGTAACAGCAAAACAAACTAAAATGTAATAGTGAAACATAAAAATATAACAAACAATTAAAAGTAGGGATGTAGCCATGTAATTAAGATACTTACAATGACTTTTAAATTTGTAATAGTGTAATAAATAGTATAGTTATTATATGAGTAGAAATTGACATAACTTTGAGTAAATTCTTTTTTATGGTGGCGGTAGGGGGGTGGGGTTATTGATTGTAATATGTAGCTCACGGCACTTTTGCAGACTCAAGCCACCTCTGTCCCTGACACAATGGCCGATAGAGAAATTCCAGTTTTATATTTTGAATCATACCTAAACTTCTAATTTAAATCGATATTTATTAATGGGAGAACGTAGTCCCTCAAAATTCAAAAGTTTGAATCCAACCATATTACAATTTATTTTAACAAGCATTTAAATAGTAAGAAATTAGTTTTAAATTTTGAATGAAGTGAGGAATGTATTGATTTTGAATTATGTATGTTTAATTTTGTGTGTGTGTCTAATGTCTGTCATCACGTTTTTGTGTAGAAATAATGGTATGGTTTTTGACTTCAGTCCCTTTTTGAAAAGAAAAATTCATCTAGTTGATACTTTGGGAGTCAAAAGTAAACCGATACAATATCCTATCTTATTTTGGCAAGGTGAAGATGGATTTAATTTTTCAATGAAGTTGATAAATATAGTTAGAGGTTCCAAGAATAATAGATAAGTTAGTTAAATGAATTATTATTCATGGTTCGGGAAAATAAGAACAATCATATCTTAAAATGTTGGCATCTTTTCCATGAATATGTTGTGCATAATATGTACGTGAAAGTTCAAACTGAGCGATTGAAATTGATCTGGTTGAACCAGTCAAAACTGCGTTCTGAAGAATCAATTCATCTATGGAATTCCATTAATGATGGTGGAAATCCTCAGAATGTAGGTAGAATAACTATTGTCCCATCAAAATACGTTGGAAGTCCGCAACATATGCATGAATACGCTTAAGATACTATATCGTATGAACGTCATTATGGCACACCAGATTTGTTTATAACGTCACATGTAATCCACAGTGAACGGAAATTTGACAAGAATTATTTAATGGCCAATTACGCATTAATCACCATGACATTATAGCAAAGGTGTTCAAAAGAAAGTTAAAATCACTCATGAACTTCATTGTTAAGCATCGCGTATTCAGCGAACATTTCAAGTAGTTTTTAAAAACGTCAGGAAAAACCTTAAAAAAGTAACGAAAAAATGGAAATTTTTACTCATAATCAGTTTTCGACAAAATCGGTTTTTTTTTATTTTTCTGTAACTCAAAAACGAATCATTGTAAATACTTGTAATTTTCGAAGTAGGATAACATTTTCAAATTTTTTGGACTTTTTAAGCTATTTATGGACAATTGAAATTTTCGATTTTCCTGTTTTTTTTTTTTTAAATGCCTATTAAAAAAAATCTTTAAAATTTAATACAAAGTTTATTATAAGTTGTACTTATATATTGTAGAAAAAAAAATCAGAAATTGTTGGCCACAATTTTTTTTATTTTAAAATAGAATATTTACAATCTGTAACATGAATACAATAAGCAAATGGGATTTTTTTTTTACAAAATATTTACAGATATATTATGAGGAGGGAGGCTGTCCAGTGACAGAACCATAATGCGTCATTGGTATAGGTTAGGTAAATCCCTG